TAGATTTCAAGCCCCAAAGGGAGAAAAGTGAGGTATTATCTGACACAGCTAATGAGTGTTAAGGGTCCATTGTTATATTTCTTGTTTACCTTTCTGTGCTGGCTGATACGGCCCGGATCCTCGCCTCTACTGCCATAATTAGGATATCTCATCTCTTGCTGATAGGGTTGGGGATGCTGTTCAAAGCACAATGCTGTCTCATCCCTCCCTGGCAGGATGAGCGTGATTGGGAAGGCAACTTCTGGCATCTCGGTGCTCATGCTTGCTGCATCGACCCTGTGAGTTGGGGGATGCCCTCCAGAGCCAGAGGTGTACCTGATAGCCCCCAGGTATCACCAAGGTAACCTCCAACAACCTTGCTGACCTCTCTGAAAGGCCCTGAGCCAACTTGCCTGAGAGCCAAATCCTCCCCAGCACCTCTCTCCACGCAGCATGAAGGGTGACCGTGTCCTCCAATGAGTCACCCCATGCCCACTGATGAAGGTGAAGGACACCTGTGGGTACCCTCTCTCTGTAATGCCAGTATCTCTGAAGCTTGGGCTTCAGGAAGATATTCAAGGTTGGGACCTGGTGTGGACTGGCTAGTCTCCTTTTGGGCAGAAAATATTCAGGGTGGGTTTTTTGAGTTACAAGTTGTATCACAGGTTTCCTTTGTGGCCTCAGGGGTTGCAAATCATTCCTTGGACCCCCAGATAACAGAGCATCTTGTTGAAAGCCACCTTTACACTGAGGCTTGCCTGATCTCCCTGAGTTTAGCAAGTCTCTTTAGCCACAAAGGTTTAAGTTGGTTCTGCTCCAGCTATGATTACAGCCCTGGAGCAGCTTGGGCAGGTGGACACCTACCACATTCCTTGGAAGTCCATGCATAGCTTGATGGATGTAGCTGCATTAAGCTACCGGCAAAGACAGGTTAGCACTGCCTGGCCCTGAGGATATATGAATTATTCCAGGGTGGTTTAATTAAATACTTGCTGTATGCAGGTAAACCGCTGCTGGAAGGACTACCAGCTCCAGCCCTGGCTCCAGGCAGTGTAGCCTGGGGTTTATGCCTTGGCATCAGGCGCCTTGACACCCAAGCGATGCCATTTGCCCCTCCAGAAACAAAAAGGGACCCCATCCCACCATCATGGTCCTTTGGGGTGGGGAAGAAGCCCAGCCACCCAGGTGGGAGCCAGCAGTGCGGCATGTAGGGGTGGCTGTGTGTGGGCAAGGGGACTGCAAGTTTTTGGTCTCGATTCAAGCCACCAAAAGCCAGAAGTAAAATACCATCCATTGTTGGTTTATACACCCGTAGTAGCCAAACAAACATCCCTGAGCCTGTCCTTATCACTTTATTACACCTGCTAGAATGAATAGATTAAAGAGGATGGGGGAGGGGGGAGAAAGCAGAAGAATCCAGCAGAAAAACTGGGTTTTGGGATTGTTAATTATTCTCTGGGGTCTCTAATCTTTAACTGGCAAACAGCATCACTAACTGTCTTAAAGCCCCTCCTGGAACATCCTGATAATAAGCCATCTGCATGAAGGCACCCCGTTATCTGCCCTCCTCCAGCCGCCTGTGACATGGCTGGAGTGGGAGATAATGAATGTGTGGTGTGTAATAACGACACGTCATTCATGATTATCGGCCTGATACCCAACCTTTTAGCTCCATTGTTTGTGCTTCAAAAAAGAAGAAAAAAAAAAAAAAAAAAAAAGGAGGAGGGAAAGAAGAAAAAGGGGAATTTTTGGTGCTAAGGGCTGTCCCGGGGTCCCCGAAGTGTCTCCCTGCCAAAGGGGCTGGCTCTCGTAGCATCTCCCAGAGGGTTCAGTGGTACCCTGGAAGGACTTGCCTGTGGATTGGTGGCTGCTGTAGCCATGGTGATGGAGGGGGAGAGCTGAGACAGCGCAGAAATGTCACCGCCTGCCAGGGAGACATTTGGGGCAAATGCTTGGGCGATTAGATCTGTGTCACCGGGAGCTGCCCAGCTCCTCATGCTGCTTTTTGCTGCTCTCAAAGCCGTTAGTGGTGGCTTGGCAGAGGAGGTTATCTCGAACACACTGCTGTCCAGAAACTGCCAGCATTTGATGGCGGGGGGATGTTTGGGTTGCCTAGTTTGACCTGGATAAGCTGAAAAGCGGAAGAATTTTCTCCTAGTGGCCACTGTGTTACAGCTCTGCAATGTATCGGGGCTCTGACATCTTCCTCCAAAAGCTTTGGTCCTTCAAACTGCAAACCTGGGATAAGGGTGATTCTTAATGGATAGAAACTTACAGGTTTTGGCTCAGGTTACCTCAATTATTGTCAGAACCGCCTGGAATAATGATCCTTTTTTTGCATTAAAAATGGCAGTGGTTTCTCCTCTCTTTCTTGAGTAGAATTCCAAGAGTGGTTTCCCGAGGAAGACCTCTGCTGGAAGTGGTTGGGATTTGGCCTTTCATAACAGTCAGGAGGACTCTCAGAAACCAAACAAGCATCCTCAGTCATGGCAGAGAGTAGGATAATGACTGCAAAACATAGGGCTGGGAGGCCAAGGAGGGCATCATATGGAGACAGGGATGGGCAGCAGCCTCACCAAATCTAACTTTGTGGGTCCTCATCAAATCTAACTTTTCCTGCTCTGACCTTATCCCCTCATGCCCAAAGCAGAAGATGCCGTAGGGATATCTTCAAGTGCTATTGCTTTGCAACCCACCACCAGGGAGACTGGGACAGGTCTTTGTGGCCAAGTGCTCCCCAGGCTCATTGCTTGGACCACAAGCTGGTGAGTGGATGAGCAGAGCTGCAAGGTGACTTGCTTTTTCCCAGGCGGGTGGTTGAAATATCTGACAAATAGGGCCGGTACTGAAAAGCTGCATCAAACTGCTGCCCTCCAACGGCCTTGCTGTGCTGGAGCTGGGGAGGAGGAGAGCTGGACTCTGACCTTTGAGACCAGCCTGAGTCCACCCGTGGTGCAAGGGTGGTGGCATCAGCACCTACACAACCTCACAGGGTGAGAAGGGGAGGGAGCAGGGAGAAGAGGAACTCAGTCTCCAGCTGCCTTGAAAAACAAACACAAGCTTCACCTTGCTGGTAATTCACAGCATCCCTGTCCCGTTAGGTACCAAGCTGGCCAAAATGAAGGTCTGGATCTGACCCTGGAGGAGTTTTGTTTCTCAAACTGAAGATACAGCAGGCAACAAAGATGGGGAGCAGGGGGCTGTAGGGGTTTATTCAGATGAGGAGATGCTCAGAATTGGCTGTCCTGGTCTGGCCACAAGCAGAGGATGAGCTGTCCAGACAGAAGGACACAGTTTGGCTCTGATAGTGCCTGCAGTGATGCTGGTGATGCTTTTGCCATAGGCGACAGCTGGACAAACAACCTTGTCTCTCACCATGGCACCGCACTTGTGCAATCCTCTGTGCCTCAGTTTCCCCTGATGCCTGCTGAGTGCCTGAGCACTCAAAGTGAGAAGATTTCCCTCTGCTGTGGGTAGTACCATCATCGTGCTGGGCCCCAAGACAGAGCAGTGCTGGCTCTGCTGTCCCACACAGCTGAGGAGACAATGGGGATGTCCTCATGGACGGGGCCCATCAGCTGCCTTGCTGGGCCTGGCCATGCTTCCTGCCAAGCCCAGGGGGTTTTGCCAGGGGCCAGGGAGGACTTTGGGTTTTTCTGGGTCTCCCATTGCCCCTTAGTGATCTATTTCCCACCCAAATCTGCAGCTCACCCAGCAGGTCCCCCTTGGCCTGGGAGCCCACCTGTGGCTGGTGCTGGGGGCAGGACCTATAGTGGGTCCCTGTACCCCCCAAACCAGCCCTGTCCTTGGGACTGCACACCTTAGGCAGCTCACTCATGTACTGAGTGGTCAGTTCTCAGACTCTGCAGAAAAGGGCTTGAGACAGACCTTGAGACACGCTGCCTCTTGGGATGTTTTTTCTTTTTGCAAGGTGATTTTGTTCTTGTCATCACCATTTGAGCGGGGTTGCGTGTGATTTCTGTTTTGTTTTGTTTGACGCAGGGTGTTTCCGTTGTTTTCTTACCACAGAAACTCCTGGAGACAGAGGTGAGGTCTTGGTGATCCCACAGCATGGGAGGGGTGGAAACAGGCTCCTCAGGCTCAGCGGGGGGTAAACCCACTGAAACAGCCCTTGCAGCTTGAGAAAAGAGTTGTGAAGCTACACCCTTGGGCACAGCCTTGCCTCTGGTCTGCCAGGACTCATCCTGTACTCCCTGGTCCCCAAAATGCAAAGGAAGCCAAAGCCATGCTTGAAGAGCATCTCTCTGAGGCTTTATTCTCGTTTCAGAGAGGAGGACAAGACTGATCAAGTCGTTCTGCGGGCAGGGAGTGCTTTCTCCAGGTCAGCTGGTATCACATCTCTGTTGTGGCTACTGAGTTACCTCAGCTCAAGGAAGTTCAACACTGGGGCAGAAAAACCCACTGACTTTCATCTCTGTAATGGCAGGCACAACGCCAGCCCCAGAGTGGATTAGGAGGACTAACCTGGGGAGCAGTGCATGGTGGATGGGAGCAGTGTGGCTGCAGGGAGGAGCTCTCCTGCCCTGGCACACCCAGGCTGGAGGCAAGGGAGGGACAACATGCTTGGGCAGTGTCCAGGCTTTAGACACCCGTGCAAACCACCCCAGCATTGTTTATTGCCATGCCTGATGGGGAACTGGCAGCGGTGCAGGCCGGCAACAGAAGTCTCACCAGGCAGTGTGTGTGGGCAGGTTGGAGGTGAGGAGATGAGCAGGACACGGAGGATGGCTGCAGAGGTGAAGGCTGAGCCACAGCCATGCTGTGAAACCCTTTTGGAGTGCTGTTCCCTGTGCAAGGATGGGACCTGGACCTGCTGTGTTTGATGTGTGTGCGAGGGTGCTCAGCGTGCCACCCTGGATGGCACCAGGGGCAGGAGGGTTAATGCGGGAGAGGTCTGAGGTGGCCAGGGTGGGTCTGCTTGGTGCCCCCTGTCTTACACCTCTGGATGGAAGGTGGTCCTTGGGAAAGCTCTCGGCCCTCCACTGTGGTACCCCATAGGATCAGTGAATCTTCTTCAGATGTAGGTGGATCCCGTTGCTGGACCTGAGGATGAGCTGCGGTATCAGTGTGGGAGGATTGGACGGGTCAGGGCAGAGCTCAAAACGGAGCAGGGTTAAGGCAAGAGCCACCTTCATCTCGTTCATGGCAAACTGCTGCCCGATGCAGTTCCTGGGGAGAGGATGATAAATGATCAGATTGCTGCCTTCATCCCTGACCACCTCTGAGCTGGGCTCAGCACATATGTGAGCTGGGGAACTTCCAGTTGCTGCAAGGATGATGCCACAGCATATCTAGGAATCCCCTGATGCCACACCAAAATGCACCCAGCTCTGGGGTGGGGTAGTGCTGGTTTTTATTAATAAGCATTGAAAAAAATATATGAGATTGAGAGAACTGGGGCTTACTTCACTAGAAAGTCCTGCATGGATCCAGCTAAAAACCCAGACACCTCAGAAAGGTTATTTTTGGCTCTATGTAGAATATATTCTCTTGCAAGTTACTGAGACCTCAGTGTCCTGCATCTGTCTATCGATACATCATGGGAACCACAGAGATTTGGACCCAGCTTGGCTTTGAGGTGCACGAGTTATTCACTTCTAAACAAGGGAGCCTGTTCCCAATGCAGGCAACAGAAAGTCTAAACATCTTCACAAATCCATTAGAAAAGTGTGTGAAACCCTACAGTGACCACAGAGCTTGGGGTATGGGAAACACTCTGGAGCTGATGGAGCATAGAGGAGATCCTTCTGTGGAAATCCTGCTTGAGTTGTCCAAGCCAACTTGGTTCATGGGCACTAAGGGAAGATTAGCTTCAGGAGCTTGGCTCTAAGCTAGGTCTACCATGCAAGGCAGCCTACAGAGAAGGAGAGGGATGAAGGGTCTCCCACCTGGATCCAGCAGAGAAAGGCAGGAAAGCGTGGGAGTGCCTCTGTGCTGAGTTCTCTGGAGAAAACCTCAGGGGATCATATATCTGTTGGAGGAACAAAGGTCATTTGGTCTGAGATGAGCAGCACTGGGTTATTCCCTGGTCCCCAAGGTCTGGCTGGATTTGGCTTCTGCTGTTCCTGGGGGAGCTGCAGCTGACAGACATCTCTCTACAAAGCCACTGAATGGATGAGAAGAGGATTCTGGTGGCTGTGCAGATATCTCTCCTCCCCTTGGAGATAGCTGGATCCCCCACTACAGCACCCAAGGTGCCTGCAGATGTTTTCTTATCCATGACAGCAATGATCAGAGATGCCTGGTCCTGGGTCTCCAGACAGCCACTGGAGAGACTCAGCTGTGTACTCTTCTTCAATTTTCCTAGCTATTTCTTTTCTTGAAGCCTTTAAGATACCAGCTTCAAACCACACCCTGCCTGAAGGGCTTGGGACTTCTCTTGCCATGTTGGGACCCAAGTCTATCCAGGGCAGTTGAAAGTAGCCTGAGTATCTCTGTGTCACCACACATGAAGACTATTCAACACCCCTTCCCAGCAGTTTGTCATGTTCAAAGCCTTTGCAGTGTTTGGTAACTTCACTGAACTTTGCATTTAGATATGGAGTGTTGGAATAAGAGGGGAAGAAAAACCATGGCAGAGAGGCACAGGCTGCCTTGTTCAAGGGGAGTGGATATCTGGGCTCAGAGATCATCTACCCCTTCTTGTTATAAAGATGAAATACCTCAGGGTCCTCCCACACATCCCGATTCCTGTGAATAGCGAATATGTTTATCCCAACCTGGCAGCCTGTAAAAGAAAAGTGAGAAAAAGCTCATGACACTTCAGAGTGAAGACCCAGGAGAGGTGTTTGTGGGATTCTCTCCCTCCCTGGGCTCTGCAGGTGCTGTTGCAGGAGATCTGGCAGGGATGATACCCAGATAGGTCACCTCCTGAAACCCTCCCACAGAAGAAACAATGGCCTCAGAGCTGGGACCCATTTTGGTACCAGTGGATGAACTTCTACTCTTGGCCAGGATCAACACTCTGCAAGTCCCCTTTGAGCTCTGTGAACCCCCCAGTGTCCTGGAGCACGTCCTTGGACACTTTTCAGCCACCCTTCCAAAAAAGCTGTGATGGTGAGCTGTGCCGGCCTTGTACAGCCCTTTGGAGAGAGAAGAGAGTCTGGAAGCCCCACCAGCTCCTCCGCACAGCAGCTCTAGCAAGGACGCCCCACTTGTCACAGACAGAAGGACAAAGGATGAACAAACTCAACAGACCTGCTGGCAAGCTGCGTCCATCGGAAAATGTGACAGGTTTAGAGAGGTATCGGGACACAGCAGGAACTGGTGGGAACAGACGCAAGCTCTCTTTGATGCACATTGTGGTGTAAGTCATCTTCCCAAGGTCCTCCCTGAAAGCAGACCAGGGGGTCAGGTTCTGTTTGAGTGGCAGCAATAAGGACACCAGCAATGGGTACTGCGTGGACTGGACCAACATGTCTCCTGTTGGGGTTCCTCCTTCTCCTAGTCCTCCCTTTGCTGCCAGCAGTGTTACATGAAAAGCAGAATGCCCTAGTGTAGATGTAGTGTAAGGTGGATGAAGGTTCCTTCTCAGGATGAGTGAGAAGAGTTCAAAGTAAAGGAATAAGATGTCCTAGCTCACCACTCAATGGTATCTCGGTCTCCCAAGATCCCCTGGATCTCCTCCCTGCACCGTTGCTGGTACTCTGGATATAAGGACATGCAGTAGAAGAGCCAGGAGATCCCACTGGCTGTGGTATCGTGACCCTCAAACATGAACGTGTCCACCTCAGCACGCAGATCCTCATCGGGCAGTCCAACTCCATTTGCATCCTAACAAAGAGGAGAATATATAATTCTTAAGTGCCCCTTAATTGGACTTGCTCCATTGGGTATAAAAATAACCTTTATGATGATGAAGAAGAGCCTGATTTGCTGTCTCTTGTATCTCCCTGTACATTAGGAAGTAAGCCAGTAGAAAATACATCCAACATATGTGAGAAGAGTCACACCTGCTGATTTCCAGCTCTGCAGTCAACAGAGCTACAGAGTTGGGCTTTGGTGGGACATTAGATCCCAGCCCTTCAGAAGGACCTCCTACCAAGGGTCGCTGTTATGTTTTTCAGTAGTTTGGTTGGGACAGCTTTTGTTTCAGATTGAGATACAAAAGAAAGCAGTGGCTCCAGAAGGACAGAGTGAGCACAGGGTGTATCTATCTCCTTCCTGGACAGCAAATAGCAGCTTCTGTCCAGAGTATCTGAAGATGTCTGTGAAGGTAAAACTACAGAAGGTAAGGAACAAAATCTCTTGAGAGGACTACAGCCAAGGTGGCCCCCTTGTAACCTTTCCAAAGATATCATTCTTCTCTGGTTTCTGACAGCTCACTTATTTTAAACTATTAATGTGCTCAATGAAAATGAACAAGGAAGATGAAAGTCTGCCCAAGCTATTTCTGTTCAGTCACTGCACCTCACACATTTGTATTTCATTCCCTTTCAGTCCACTTTTCCCAAAGCTAGGAAATCTGGACTGCTGTTGCCAGGAGCTCCAGCCAGGGGTGGTGAGCTCCCTGCTGATGCATCCTTGGTGCCACACAGCTGTGTTCTTTGGCATTTGATATGATTTTTTCAAGCATTCACCTTGGTACAAAGAAGAATGTCCAGAAAATCCAGGTGCCTCTTCTTCTGGATCTTGTAAAGTTCATTCTCATTGGAAAGCAACATCTTTCTTTCTTTTATTACCTTATCTGCATAGAAGAATGATCAGTTAGGTGCATCCTGCCCCTCCAGAGACTTCACGTACTTGTCCTCTCGGTCAGCAACATGAACTTTTTTTAATGTGTAACCCTCTGGCCAGTGCCTGCTGCAACCTCCCCCTGAGCTGCTCCAGGTGCAAATGGGGGAGAGGTTCAGCTGGGAGACAGGGCTGGGGAGAAAGGGGACAAATACCTGTGTGGGTGTGGGCCAGCCTGCAGGCATCCCGAAATGCACGGCCTTTGTGAGTCAAGTCATAGAAGACATCCTTGTAAGAAAAAGTCTGGATTCTATTGCTCACGAGGTAGCTCAGGTCATAAACAGCTTTGATATAATACTCTGAGTTGCTGTAAGGAGAGCAAGGTTAAAGCTGGTGTTAGCAAAGCGAGTGGGGGAAACAGGCACATTTGCTTTCCCAGAATTTGAAAGTCCAGGCACTGACCTCTGAGTCTGGCAGTTGGTATTATAACTGAAGGCACATTTCATAATGCTGTCTAGTGTCATCAAGCTGACATCTTGAAAGAGCTCCACTGTCTTCCTCTCTATGTTCTTCTTTTCCCATTTATCCTAGTGGTGGAGATAGGGGTAGAGGGACAAATTACCATCTATAATCAGGTCATATTTTCCTGTCCCCCTTCCCAGATTCACACTGCTAATTATTTTCTGCAAACAGAGGCCCTAGTTCACTATATATCCTGTGGATCTAATCAAACCCTTCTGTGCATTTCTTTTTCCAGGTTTACCATTACTGGGTTAGAAAAGGATATTCTAGCAGTGGTTGCTTTTATTGGAAAACAGATGAAAGAGAGAATAAGTAACATGGCCAGAGGAAGGTGAGGAGAGCAATTTCAGAACTACCCAGAAATTTCAGTGAAACTCTAGGAAACATCTAAGTCCAGTCTCTATCAGTCCCTGGTTATTTTCACTGGTGCACAGCTAAAAGGTAAAAGTAGCAGGAGTGGTGATTCTTACCAGCATCACTTTGACTGAGTCAGACATCAGGGCCACATATGATTTCAGCACGTCATAATGAAAGGCTGGGGTGAGCAGCTTCCGATGCTGGAACCATTTGCTCCCATCCAAGACCAACAGCCCCCGCCCTGGAGACACAAACAGCAAAGGTGTAGTCAGCTCCTCCAAACTCTGATCACAGTTCTGACAGCCTCACCACTGCTTTTGGCCAAGCACAGGCTAATGTGCAGGGTCTGGGGAGAGGAGGAGTTAGTGATGGAGCCTTTTCTCCAGCCTCTCTGAGGATGTTCACAGCAGGATTCTTTGGATGGAGGAGAAGCATGGTCATGTGTCCTTCACTGCAACTGGCTGTGCATGCTTAATCTACCCTGAAACCAAAGCCTTGATGGCAGAGGCACAGGATTTGCTCTCTCAGATGGGTTTTTCTGTCCTGAATGAAGTACTTGGGTGGCTTTTGCAGCACACGCTGACAGTTGTTAGCAGGACCCTGGACGGCTACCTCAACCTCGCAGCTGTTTGCAAGTCGTGAACCTCTCTGTCCTTGGTGTGTCTTACCCTAGTTTTCCACAGTAGCATTCAGTCCCTGAGCAAACTGAAGATTGCTCTGTGAAGGCCAGGGTGTGAAGTACATGGCAAAGCCACCTGATGTGCTCCATGACTGGGTGGGCACCACCAGTACTAATGCTTATGCTCAAACAAACCCTCTCATTTCCAAGCTCTGGTTTTAGAAAGGAAGAAAGTAAAAAAAAAGGAAGACAAGAGAGAAGCTGCTGAAATGGACATTACAGCTGAAAGGAATAAAGGAAGAGAATGTCTTACCGATCCAGGGAAGTATGAATTTGTAGGGTACACTGGGCTTGGGATCTGTAAAACAAAACAGATACTAGAACACTATGAATGGCTAATGAATTCAACATAAGAAAAAAGAAAATGCAAGATAAATTGACATTACAGTTCATCCTCTAGATCACAATGTAGAATTAGTCTTATTTCAATATGTAAAATACCCTAACACTAGAAGTAGAGTTTAAAAGTGGTCTTCTACAAATATGACCTTAGTGGAGTTGAGAAAAGCAGAGAAAGGTGTAATGAAAATTGTACATGGAGAAGAAATGGCCATGGCAAATCTAGAAGTTGAGAATAATGGATGGGAGTTTCTGGAGATGCCCATGTATGTACCACTCACAGGCATCGTGCTCCACAGAAAGCATTAGAGGAAAAGACTTGAGATGTCTTCTGGGAGCTATTGCCATGCCAGCTCAACCACATTACTGGGTTTACTGGAAAACACTGGTAGATGCCATAGAAGACAGCAAGACCAATGATAATGGAGATAGTGGACTGGGAGGAACAAGTACAAGGTCACCGTCTTGCATGAGAATACAAACTGCTCCATGAAACCTGGGGCAGGCTGGGAGTTTGCAAAGGGGAGCAAAGGAGGAATTGCAATAGCTGTGAAGGAAGCCAGAGGCGGGGGTGACTCCAGGCAAGTTTCCCATTATTTCCTTGGTAGGGAAGTGACAAGGACATGGCTTCCCAAAACCAGATGTAGAGACTTACCTGTTCGGCCAAGTATGCTTTTGGCATATTCAGGATGGTGGACGACTAGAGAAGGCAGGACTGGTCCAAGCCACCTGGGAAATGCATAGGGGTATTCTTCTCCCCATGACACCATCTGATTTAATATTTTATCGGAAGTTATCTGCAAATGACAGTTAAGCAGGGACTGAATTCAGCCAGAAAGAGGGATGGACAGGGGAGACCAGAGGCTAAACTTGTCAGCCTATGGAAAGCACATGCAAGATGTCTTTTCTTGGGAAATGGGGAGAGAGAGTAGGTGGACTTGCTGCAGAGGGGCTTTCCACGCTGCAGGTGGAGGAGATGCTGGGCATGGCAAATGGACAGTGCACAGGTGGCAAAGCTGCAGCACAAGGAAGCTCCATGGAGAGTCCTTAGCTGGGGTCCAGCTGCAGTCAAGCTGCATTAGGACAGCCTGGGCTTGGAATGGGTTGGTGTCATGCTTGGGAGCTACACCTGGCATGGGCAACGTCAGGATTCAGAGTGAACAGGCCAGGAGGACCAAGGCTGTTACAGCCTGTTCTCTAAATTCAGCAGTCCAAGGTGGACATGCAATGTGAAAGCAAAAATGTCTTCACTATAAAGGGTTGAAAATGGCTGCAATAAAATGCCCTGCTTTTGTGTCCTTGTCTTTGTAAGTGGCTGCAGAGTGGGAGACCCTTGTTGGTAGAAGGTTTAATTCAGAGGAGAGATATTTTATGGTTGATCATATTTAAATAATTTCATGAAAGCCCCAGAAATCACCTAACTCCATGTTTAAGCACAAAATCAAAACCAACATGGCTCTGTTTTTTATAAAATGATGCACATCTCATACCCAGGCACCATTTGTGCCAGCCCTGTAGAAGCCTTGGCAGTCCCAGTGCAGAGGTCCTCTCCTGTAGGAAGGGAACACGAGCAGGGGACATGCACATCCCACCCAGTGCTTCCTCTCATCCTGACTGATATCTTGCACAGTTCTGGGGACAAACCCACCCTGACTGAGCCTAGCTCCCTCCTTACCAGGTGATTGTGGCCATAGAGCCAGTGTTTCTGGGGACCAGGGAATGCCTCCAGAGCTTTGATGAGTTTCTTCCTCTCCCGGTAGAACTGGGCCACTTTCAGCAGCACGAAGATTACGCCAAGCACCACAGACAGCTGCAGAACGACAGCAGAAGGTCTAGCTATGTTGTCCAGCACAGATGCCATGCTGGTCCTGTGTCTGGGATGCCTGACACTGCCTTTGTTCCTCTTCCGCTCCTCTTGCACCTGTGCCTGATGGGGAGCCGGGTGCAGGTAAAGATCTTCTCCCTCCTGCTCTGCTGGAGCTGAGCCTGTTGAAGCACCGCTGGCAGCAATTTATAGCAGCAGGAACATCATGGTAGGCAATCTGTCAGCTTGGCCGGCAGCCTGATTGCCTGCTGCTCCCACTCACCCTTTGACCTGCTTCCAGCAACCTGTGGATGGAAATTTGTTAATAAACAACGTAGATATATTTCCTACTTTCTTTGAAGTGCCACACACCCCAGCAGTGAGTGAAAACACTCAGTCACCCATGCCCGGGTGAACGAAGCCATAGGAGGGAGGAGGTGAGAGGTAGCCAGGCTTGAGCTCTAGCTGAGCTCTGTGCTGTCCTCAGCCAATCCAGCTCTGGAAGCCCTTCATATGCCCTTGTGAAGTGAGGAACAAACAGGTCACCTCTGCCCAACATATGGGCTGGACGGATCCAGCCGCCTTCTACTGTAAAAGCAGTGCTCTGAGTGACTGCAACATCACACAGCACTGCTGGACCATCATCAAGAGAATGGACATCACCTGATCAGCACACAAGGAACTGTGGCCCTGTTCTCCAAGAGGTCCTACCGTAGACAATCAAGGAGACAAAACTGCTGCCCAGAAGAATTACCATGGTCAATAGATCAGACAAGGAGAGGGAGAACAGCAGAGCAGTAAAACAACCTAACAGTGACTTTCAGCTCCAGCAGTGACAATGTCTCAGAAGCTCCTCACACACTTCTGTGTTTGCATCTTGGGGTTGGCAGCCTGGACATTTCCATGTAAGATGGAATAAGAATGCTCACATTGAGATACCTGCCATCATAGGTACCCAGGGCACACAAAGCACTGGACATGTCAGCTGGCTAACAGCTAGCTCCTACCATGTGTGTCCAGATGCCTGCTAAAATTTGGGCTGAAGAGGGCGTCTTCAGCTTCTTCATGCTGGTAGTAGAAGACTGCTCTAGAAACACACTTTTCTCTTGAAAGACATCAACTTTATGATCTACTCTTAGGCCATGCCTGGGCTGCAAATACCCTTTTGCTAGTCTGCCAACGTTGTCTATAACACTAAGTTTCTTCAGCATTTCCCTAGAAATAATGACTGCATGAGTTCCCCAGCTGAAATAAGGAGACCCAGTCAACACTACAGCTACCCACATGGCACTCGGCTTTTGTCAGCATGGCAGGAAGATGTATTGGAAAGAGCCAATGACAACAGCTGAAAATCTCTTATATCTCCTCAGATTCAGGTGCTGTGGCTGCATGAGCCCTGTCCTAGCACATTTCTTCAGCTTTCCGGAGTGACTGTTCCCTGAACTGAACCCCTGTAACGTACTTTAAAGTGGTGCCTCTGGTTCTTCAGGCTGGGAAGAAGAGGAAGGAGGAGGTATACCCTCTGGCTGGCATTTGTCATCTTGCTTTCTCCCCATCACCATTGCTGACATGCTGCATCCTTTGGGGCAGAACCTGGTAAGTCATTACAGCCACATCCATCAACAATTTTAAAAATTAAAGAACACACTGACTCTCCTTGTGTTGCCTTGGAGGACATCCCTGGCAGGCACTGAACAGCGTTAGCTTTTCACATACTTGGCCATCTTCATGAATCATAGAATAATAGAATCATTTAGGTTGGAAAAGACCTTTAAGATCATCAAGTCCAACCACAAACCCAATGCTACCAAGTCCACCACTAAACCATGTCCCTAAGTCCCACATCTACACATCTTATAAATACCTCCAGCTGCCCCTTCCCTGGGCAGTCTGTTCCAATACTTGACAACCTTTTTGCTGAAGAAGTTTTTCCTAATATCCAGCCTAAATATCTCTTGTTACTTGGGAGAAGAGACCAACCCCCACCTCTCTACGTCCTCCTTTCAGGTAGTTGTAGGGAGCAATAAGGTCTCCCCTCAGCCTCCTCTTCTCCAGCTGGTTCCCTCAGCTGCTACTTGTAAGATGTGCTTCAGACCCTTCACCAGCTTTGTTGCTGTTCTCTGGACATGCTCCAGCACCTCCATGTCCTTCTTGTAGTGAGGGGTCCAAAACTGAACACAGAACTCGAGGTGCGGCCTCACCAGCACCTGGTACAGGGGCACAATCACTTCCCTACTCCTGCTGGCC